CTTCTAGAGGCAATTTTGTGTGTGTGTATATATACCAATCTCCTTTTCTGTGGTCTGCTGAAAAGTGTCAAATCAAGGTTGTGAGATCTGAAACGAGGATTTTTTCTTATTATACAAATCAAAATGTAGAAATGAATTTTAAAAAATGAACCCCAAACCTGCTATTCTTCCCACTGCATCGCCAGAGCCCTTTGCAATACCTCTGTTATAACTCTTCTTATATTGTGTTCGAATCATTGATTTACTGTCTGACTCTCTCCAGGGCTCACGGGCTCCTCAAGGAGAGGCATTCTTCCACGTGAAGAAAAAATGTGTGAAAAGAGTTGTTTATTTTCTACTATTTGTCCAGTGTGTGTAAACAGTGAGGGCATGGTTTCTGGATGAAGATGCCCGTGTATGTCCTCACGTGGGCATGTCAGCGTGCTCTCGAGTTGAGATGCGTGGGTGTGGAGTGTGAGAGGTTTGGGGCTGAGGGCTTGTCGGTGGTGGTGGGAGTGTGCTTCTGTCGGAGGGGCATTGTCTGGGCTGTTTCGCTGGGACTGTGTAGCAAACACGTGCCTCCACTCAGTGTGTATAGACACCAGTGAGATGAGTGACCACCAGTGGCAGACTGTGTGAAGGATTGTCCCTCGCCCCTGCCCATGTGTGTGTCCCTGCATTAGGGACACTGGGATCTCTGTGGGTTCTCTTTGATGCTGGCTGTGTGCTGTGGCCCAATGGGCCCTGTGTTCCTGTCCCCAGGAACTATCTGGGGCTCCTTGCTGTCCCATGTCACCACCTGTGTGTGAAGCTCATGGCCCCACTGGGCAGGTGGAGCTCTGGGTGACTGCATCCAGGCAGCTGCACTTACCATGTCTCCATCCCTGAATCCCAGCCCTTGCACAGCTGTGGACCTGGGAGGTTCCATGCCCTTGAGGTCAAAGAGGACCCCTGGGAAGTCAGTGGCTGGAGATTAGATTTCATGTGGTCATGGAAGGAGAGGAGAGAGCCAGATCCAGGTCTGGTCTGGGGCAGCACCAGGCCAAGGCCCGGGGCCTCAGAGTCATTACAGGGAGAGTCACCGTAGCTCCTATTTACTGAGCACCTACCATGTGCTGGACACCACACTTCATGCTTTATGTGTTTGTAGGTGTGCTGTTGCCTTATTCAATGTCACACACTAAGTACTTATGTTACATTTATAAATAACAAGTATGTGGAGTGTTCACGTTTATGAAAGTTTCATTGTATTAGTTATAAATTACTTTCTAATATACAGTGATTTTATATTACTATGTCCTATTTCTATTATCATTTTCTATTATCCCATTGAAGGTAGGAGGAAACTGAAGCTCAGAGATGTGAGTTCATTTGGCCAAGGTCACAGCAAGCAAGGTCACTTGACAAGGTGACAGAGTCAAAATTTGAACCCACTTCCCTGTTTCTAGCCCTTGGCTCTTCATCACTGCCTTACCCCAGCCAAAGTGGCAGAGAGCATCTGAGGGGACAAGCAGGGAGTCTGCTCAGCTGAGTGACTAGCTGTGCTGGTGTACATTGATGGAGCCCTACTGTGTGCCAGGCACAATGCTAAGGGCTTTCATGATAATGACGACGGCACGTGGTCCTATGACACTTAGCCAGGGCCCTGCTGTAAGTGCTCTTATGCGGACTGCCCCTTCGACTCCTTGCCCCAGCACTCTGAGGTGGGCTCCACCACTGTCTCTATGAGGCCCAGAGGTGGAGGCATGTGCAGATGCTCAGGGAGGAGCTGGGATCTGGTGCCGGGCTGTCCCTTGCACCCTCGAATGCTCCGTTATCCCTTACAATCTTCACAACAATCCTATAGTGTAGGAAGAAATAGCACCCGCTTTACAGATGAGGAAACTGAGGCCCAGACTTGGACTCACCACAGAACCACAGACTTGAACTACTGTCTGCCTGAGCAGCTCATCCAATCTGGACCCTGTTCATGTCTGGCAGGAGACCAGAGATGCCGAAGGGTCTCTGCAGGGCCTTGGCCAGGCTCCCACGTGCCCAGGGCCCTGTCCCACCCTGAGATTTCAGGCCCCTCCCCTTACCCTCCTGCTCCTTACTGTTTATGTCAGTTCTGCCTCCTGGTTGGTAAGCACTCACTGTATGTTACAACAATTGTCTGATCTCCCCTACATTAGGTTTTTGTTTGGGTTTTTATTAGGTTGTTTTTTGCTATATAAAAGTTTTAAAATTTTATACATTTCAACTGATCCAATTTATTTTATAGATCAAGATTTCCAAACTCAGACTTCCAGCCAAGATGGAAGTGTAGGTAGACACACTGTACCTCCTTTCACAACCAATATAGGGACAACAACAATTTAGAAACGGAATTACAACCAGAACTGACAGAAAATTGAACTGTATGGAAGTCGGACAACCAAGGAGCTAAAATAGATACTTTCATCCAGACCAGTAGGAGGGGCGGAGTCAGGCAGCCGGACGGAGAGGGGTGGAGGCACAAAAAGCGGTGGGACTGGACGCATAAGGCATCCCAGGTGAGCAAGACCACAGCAGGTGGACCCTGGGCACGGGGTGGCAACTGGCAGACCCAGCCAGGCAGTGATTGTGAATCAAGGCACTGCATGCAACCCAGGGTTCCAGCGCTGGGAAATAGAGCCTTGGGCACTGACTGAAAACACCTGTGGGGGTTAAGGTGCCAGGAGAGACTCCCAGCCTCACAGGAGAGTTTATTGGAGAGACCCACAGGGTTCTAGAACGTGCACAAGCCCACCCACACAGGATTAGTGCCAGAAAGGCCCAGTTTTCTTGGGGGAAGGGGCATAAGGGACTGAAATCTGACAGAAAGCGCAGCAAGCACCATTGTTCCCTCTCAGACCCCACCCCCACATACAGCCTCACAACCCAGACACTGGGTTGCCCTGCCCTGGTGAACACCTAAGGCTCCGCCCCTCATACATAACAAGTATAAGACAAAAAAAAAAAATGGCCCAAACAGAAGAACAGGTCAAAGCTCCAGAGAAAATACAGCTAAGCGACCAAGAGATAGCCAACCTATTATCAGATGCACAGTTCAAAGCACTGGTGATCAGGATGCTCACAAAATTGGTTGAATTTGGTCACAAATTAGATGAACAAATGAAGGTTATGCTAAGTGAAATGAAGGAAAAATGCACAGGGAACCAATAGTGGTGGAAGAAAGCTGGGACTCAAATCAATGGAGTGGACCAGAAGGAAGAAAAAAACAACCAAACAGAAAAGAATGAAGAAATAAGAATTCAAAAAAAAATGAGGAGAGGCTTAGGAACCTCCAGGACATCTTTAAATGTTCCAACATCTGAATTATAGGGGTACCAGAAGGGGAAGAGGAAGAACAACAGGTGGAAAAGTCATTTGAACAAATAATAAAGGAGAACTTCCCCAATCTAGCAAAGGAAATAGACTTTCAGGAAGTCCAGTAAGCTCAGAGAGTCCCAAAGAAGTTGGACCCAAGGAGGAACACACCAAGGCACATCATAACTACATTAGCCAAGATGAAAGATAAGGAGAGAATCTTAAAAGCATCAGGAAAGAAGGATAGAGTTACCTACAAAGGAGTTCCCATCAGACTGTCAGCTGATTTCTTAAAAGATATCTTACAGGCAAGAAGGGGCGGGAAAGAAGTATTCAAAGTCATGAAAGGCAAGGACCTCCATCCAAGATTGCTCTATCCAGCAAAGCTATCATTTAGAATGGAAGGGCAGATACAGTGCTTCCCAGATAAGGCCAAGTTAAAGGAATTCATCATCACCAAGCCCTTATTATATGAAATGTTAAGGGGACCTATTGAAGAAAAAGAAGATGATCAAAATTATGAACAAGAAAATGAAAACAAACGGACAACTATCAACAAGTGAACCTAAAAACAAAAACAAACTAAGCAAACAGCTAGAACAGGAATAGAATCACAGAAATGGAGATCACATGGAGGGTTATCAGTGGGGAGGGGGAGGGGGGAGAATGGGGGAAAAGGTACAGGGAAGAAGAAGCATAAATGGTAGGTGCAAAATTGGGGGAGGTTGAGAATACTGTAGGAAATGGAGAATCCAAAGAACTTATATGTATGACCCATGGACATGAACTAAGGTGGGGAATGCTGGTGGGAGGGGGGTGTGGGAGGAAGAGTAATAAAGGGGAGAAGAATGGGACAACTGTAATAACATAATCAATAAAATATATATTAAAAGAAAAGATTTCCAACCTCATGGAAAACCTTCTAGCTCCTAGGGAGTGGCAGCAGGGGGTGGCAGCCTCCTCCCCCTCCCTCTCCCCCTCCTAGGCTCACCCTCCTGGGGGTCGGGGGGCCTTTGGTATCTTCCTGCCAGTTTGTCAGCACTCTATCTTTACAGCTTTTTTCTCCCAGCCTTTGCACTTGGCCTTGCAATGGTTTGGAGTGGTTCACCAATAGGCCATCCCATACTTCACAGATGCTGGTTTGGATCTTGGTCAGGAAGCTCTCCCACTCCTGAGAGGAGGGAGCTCCTCCTCTCTCTCCTCCTGCCCCCCCCCCTTTCCCCTCCAGGGCCTCTCCCTCCTTATCTCCAGCTTCTGCTTTCCCGAGGTCCTGTGACCTGCCCAGCCTGAAGGCCAGGCGCCCCTCCTCCTTCCCCCCCTCAGCCTCTCCTTGGGTTGGAAGAGGGCTGGGGGAGAGGGGTGCCCCCTTCCTGGGCGATGTTTAAGAGATCTTCCCACCTATACCCGTTAACCCTGTTACCCTTCTGTTGCAAGTCACTGGTCCTCAAGTCCTGTTCATTGACTTCCTTTAGAATGCTGTTTGCCACATAAAGTCTTAAGCTGCTACTTTCATACAGATATGTCCATCTTGTATTTCTGGGTTGTGGGTTTGAGAGCTTGGTTAGGAAGGTCTCTGGGTTCTTGAGGGAGGAGTACCCTCCCTCCCCTCCCCTCCCTCCCCTCCCCTCCCCTCCCTCCCCTGCCGGAGTCCTAATCTCACAGCTTCTCCCTTCCCACGGGTCAGGAGCATAAAAGCCTGCAGGGGACGCGTCCCGCAGTGTCACCATGTCCCCGCTGTGCCCACTGCTGCTGGTCTTCGCCCTGGTGGAGGTCCCCGGTGTCTGGGGCGCCTGCCCCGCACCTGCCGACCTCAAGAACCCCGACGGGACGAAGACCTGCGCCAGGTTCTACGACAAGAGCGACCCTTACTATGGGAACTGCTGCGCAGGCGCCGAGCTGGCTGTAGAGCCGGGCACCGACCTCCCCTTCCTGCCTTCTGAGTGGACAAACGTCATCTCCTCGCTCGTGGTGGCCCCGCGCTGCGAGCTCACCGTGTGGTCCCGCCGCGGCAAGGGTGGCAAGTCTCGCAAGTTCACCGCCGGCGCCTACCCGCGCCTTGAAGAGTATCGCCGGGGCATCCTGGGCCACTGGTCCAACGCCATCTCCTCCATCTACTGCAGGTGCGGCCCTGCCTTGCCCTGGCGCGCACTTTGGCGTCCAGAGCTCTGAACCCAGCACCAGGCCCAGGCCCAGCCCCACCGCCCAGCCTACTGGCTTTTCCAGATAGCCGAGCCCCTGACCCAAGTTGGGAGTCTCTGGACCCAGTCCTTGAGGTCCCCCTTCTCACTGGCACAGGCTTTGTGAAGCACATGCCTCTTGGATCTCTCAGACCCTGTTCTGGAATTCCCAGACTCAGAAGCTCACCAACACCCCCTCCATTCAGGCAGCAACCCCCTCCAACCTTCCTGAACCCCCCAGTTGCCTACCCACCACGCCTGCACTCTCCAGGGAAGGCCACTCACTCCGGAGTTGCCACCCCTGGCTTGGAAATGGGGAGCCGTCAACACCCTCACCTTGGAGTCCCCAGAATCAAAGCCAGTGCCTCCTCCCCAAATCATCAGGCCCCAGAGCTTTCCAGGGTCTCCCAGACTTTAAATCTGACCCAGACCTCAAGGCCCCCAGACCCAATGCTAGGAACATGGCACCTAGCCCTTATGCTCCCCACCCACCTAGACCCTCTGGGACAGCTTCAACCCCAGAACCCAGTGCCAGAGCCTCTGGTAAGGTTCTGGAGCCAAAGGCCCAGTCTGGAGAGTCTCCTGCCCCAGCCCATCCTGCACTCATGTATCCAAACTCACAGACTCTAGGACCCTAAATCTAGCCATGGTGCCCTCCAAAGCCACCCACCTGCCCCACTACCCCAAGAGCTCCAGGAGCTCCCAACCCCTAACTCCCAGGCCAGGACACCTAGCTCTTGAGGTCAGAGCCCAGCCCCAGCCACCCATCTCATCTCAGGCTTTTAGAACCTCCGACGCCTTGCATCTTGGAGCCCCTGGCACTCCCTGGTGATCATTTTTGTTGTTGTTGTGTTGTTGTTGTTGTTATTTTAATTCTGTTGCAGGTGTTACTGATGTCTGAGGAGCTCCTCATCTCCAGCCCCCACTGAGTGCTGAGCCCTTCCCCTGGCCTTGTTCCTGGGACTTGCTGAAGGTCCCCAGCCCCAAATGGAGAGGGCTTCCTGTCTGCTCCCCAACCCTGCCTTCCTTGCAATACAGCCCTTATGAAGTTGTCCCTGTTGGCCATCTGCTTGTGTCTGGGACCCAAGCCCACACAGACAGGGGTGGGATGGGAGACAGCAGGGTGGTCATGCCAGGAGCAGCCCATACCTGTGACAATGCTATGGAGGGGGACACACTCAGAGATCCCGACACTGATTTAGACATGCACAAAGATGCCGCCACAGGACACGTGTATGCATGCAGAGGTACCGCTGGCCAAGAGTTAAACACTGCTATGCTTCCCGCACTATTTGGGAGACAAACCTTCCCTGAATGCCCCCCCAGCTGTTTGGCCTGCCTGGGACCCCCAGATTCAGGATTCATGCCTGAGTGCAGGTGGCCTTCACGGACCTGCCGCAGCCTAGGGCCAGGGTCTGCTGTGGGGTCTGGCCGGAGCCTAGGACCTACAGGTCGTTAAATATTCTCAATCCTCCTCCTCCTCCTGACACACAGAAGACACTTTAGTTCAGATTTCCATATTTCTTCAAATTTGAATTTGCAACCTATTCCCACCCTACCCCCAGGGTTAAGGGCCCTCTATGAGTACCTGGGTCTGGGGGCCTTTCAAAGAAGCTAAAGGAAAGACATAAAGTCTTGGGGGAAGAAAAGGTATGGGGACAGCTCTGGGGGGATGATCCCTTGGGTTTGGAGGCCGAAGAGAAATTTGGGGAGATTCTGAGAGTCAAGACATACAGGTAAAGAGGTAGTGGAGATGCTAAGAGACCATAAATCGAAGGATATGTAGCAAGATTGGAGGTCAAGGGAGGTGCAGAAGGGGGAGGAGTTTCGGGGTGCTGGAGGATCATGGATTGGAGGGTGTGGAGTGGGGCAGGAACTCAGTGCAGATCTGAGGAGCAAGACCGTGGACACACTCAGCACCCTTGGCCACATGTATTTATTCACTTAGTCAACAAGAACATTCTGAGCACCTCCTGTCTGTCAGGCACTGTCTCAGGAAGAGGGGACCCCTGCCCTCATGGAGTCCAGACAGTGTAGGGGAAATGCTGAAGAGTCAGACATTCGGGGATGTGTGAAGATGTGGAATGAGAAGCCAAGGAAGGACCCAGCAGGATCCAGGGGCCCAGGAGGCGGTAAGCGATCAGGGAGAAGCTGCGGGGGTCTGGAAGGCGTTAAGGGATCAGGGTGGTCCTGAGCGTCAGGGAGGTGTCAGGGGTGGATGGATGAGACAAGGAAGGGGTCCGAGCAGGCCCGTCACTCCCTGAACTGCACGGACACGGAGGAGTCCGTCGCCCTTGTCCGCCGCAGCCCACCAGGCTCCAGCCGGTTCTTCACCTTGTGCAGGAAGTGGACAAAGCGCACACCAGGGCCATACTGGCGGAACACGTGTGACACCTGTGGCAGCACCGGGCCAGAGAGAAGTCCTTACTAGGGACCCACAGACCCTGCTCTCCTCCCCCCTCCCTCTGTGAGGTCTTGGGACCGGCCCAGGTGGCAGCTGGGTTGGGAGTCTCACCTGGACCCAGCAGCTGGGACGGCCTTTCCCAGAGGTCCGGGGGGCCACGTGGTGCTGGGCGATGGTGGTGTGGCGGTCGGCGGCCAGCAGCCAGACGTGCAGCTCATAGACGCACGTGTCCAGCCGGCTGTCCTCAAACCTGGGGGTGGGGTCCAGGCCTTCAGTTGCCATCGCAGCCCCAACATCCCAACCCCAACCTCTGGGCCTAACCCCGTTTAAGACACTTACTGACACCCACTCTGTGTGCCCAGGCTGGGTGGTGCTGCGACACAGCAGTGACCAAGACAGACCCACACCCTGCCCTCATGAGATTCACAGCTCAGTGGGGGTGGCAGGCCAGACCTGTCACTAGGCTGTGACAAGTGAGAATGGCCAGGACAGGGTGGGGCCTAGCCAGGGGAGGCTTCCTGGGGGCACCATGTTAACCCAGCTCCTGAAGGGTAAGGAGAAGGAGGAGCTTGTCCTGAGAAAGACAAGCATCTGTGGAGGAACTGGCAGCCTCGGGCCTGCCACATTTCCAGACCTGAAAGTGTCAGGGAGAAGGGGCCATGGGCAGCGCTGGATCCTGCAGGGGCAGGAGGGTCCTGGTGGGGAGCTCAGGCCAAAGAGAGGAGGGGGCGAGGCCTGCACTTCGGGGAGCCCCTGTGAGCAACCTGGCGGGCAGAGGCACGTACCAGTCCATGACTGTGATGTCCGGCTGCTCGTCATCGAGCAGCTCCTCCCACAAGCCTTCTGCCAGGAGATCCACACACTGCTGCTTCACCGTCCAGCTGTGAGAGGGGGCGCAGGGGAGGCGGGCTCTGGGACCAGCTGGCATTCTCTGGCCCAGCTGGGCCCGACCCCAGGGAGCAGGAAGCCCTGAAGGTGCTCACGTATAGGCCCCGAGTGTCTACTCAGCACCTGACAGTCTGAGTCCATACCATGTCCTCAGAGGGGGATGCGCTCCGAACTCCGTGTTAGAGATGGGGAAACCAAGGGTCAAGAAGGGACAGGCCTTGCCCAAGGCTCCACAGCAAGGAAGGCTGGAGGGGGGAGTAAAGCGCAGGCCACCAGGTCCCAGCCACTCACCTGCAGTTGTGCTGCAGCTTCTCAGTCCTGATGTGCCACCCCTGGAAGTTGCCTGCCAGGTGGAGGAGCGATGGGTGAGCAGGTGCCCGGTCTCCGACCGGCCCCTCCCCCGGGGCCCAGCCAGCAAGCACTCACCTAGAGTCTCCAGGGGCTGCTGTGTGGGACCAGTAGGGGGTGCTGGCTCATAAATGTTGATGCCTGAAATGAGTAGGTGATACAGCCTCAGGCCTGCTGAGGCTGGCCCTCTCCACTCTCCCTGAGGGCCCCCTGCCCCCAGGGCTGCTCTCCCGCGCGCACAGGGCAGGAAGCTGTGCCCCACCCACCAGGCCAGACCAGCCTGGCAGGGACGAGAGTGAGTCAGGGCTCGGGGAGAACCCTGAGAACGTCCTGGGGGAGAGGGCCGACGTGCATTCTGGTGAGACAGACAGAGGGACAAAGAGGCGCCAAGAAAAGCAGACTTAGAATATGGGCAGAGGGAGGAAAGGAGAGAGGGCAGGAGGGAAGGAGTGATTCAGGCAGGCAGACAGACTCAGGGAGAGAGAGAGACGGAGGCTAGGTGGGACAGAGAGCCTCAAAGCCACAGAGAGAGGCACAGATGATGAAAATAGCAACAGAAAAAGAAAGACAAGGAAACAGACGTAAAGAAGAGACAGACAGTCTGGGTAAGTAAATTGGGGGCGGGGGGAGAAGCTACAGCCGGTGACAGCCCGTCTCTTCCAGCTCCACCCCGCCCGCGCCGCGTGCGCACCTTCGGGGTTGGGCGAGCGCAGCAGGTTGCGGTAGAGCGGCCGCCGCAGAAAGAGAAACTTCCAGGTGAGGCCCGGCGGCAGCTCCAGGCTCCCGCCCGGCGGCCCCCACTCCTCAAGCAGCAGCTGTCGCGCGTAGGCCTCGGACGGCTGCTCTGGTGGGGACAGCCCGGGGCTCTCGGGGGCCACGGGCGACAGCGGCATCGGCGGTGGAGGCGGCGACGTTGGCGACGGTGGCGACAGCGGCTCCTGGGGGCCTTCGGGCTCCTGGGCCTCCATCCTGCCACGGAGCCGGCGTCGGTCCTGCACCTCCTCCATCCGTCGGGTCTGGGAGACTGCCCCCGCTGCTCTGCAGGGCTGGGGTTAACTGGGGCAGGAGGGGGTGGGGCTCTCCGGCTGGCATTTAAGAGAGGGGTGTGTTTGGGGAAGGACCTTGGCTCCCAGGCCCACCTCCCTCGGACCCAGGAGACCGCGCCCCCAGCCCCTCCTCCCTTGGACCCAGTGTCCAGGCTCCCTGCCCCTCCTCGTCTCAGAAGGCAGTGGGCCAAATCCAAGGCCCTCCTCAGTTTCCCAGACTTCCTGTTCCAGTTTCCCTGGGGCCAGCGGGAGACCCCACCTGGCCCTGGGACTGGGGTTTGACAAACGGGCGAACGCTGGGGCTCCTTGCTTTCTAATGAGGCCCATCTGTCTCATTAAGATCTGCCATGGCAGGAGGTTAATTAATGAACAACTCTTCTTTCTGCCCCCCTCTCAGAAAAGGGGGGGTGGAGGGGGAAACCCTGCTTCTGCTGCTTTCTCTTCTGTCCTCACCTGGGACACACCCTTGGGGACCCCGACATTCCCTGTTCTGGAAATCAAGGTGGGGGTGCAGGGCAGACAGAGACCTGGAGCCAGAGATGGGGAGTCACCAAAATGGGGTCCCCCGGGAGACACTTTGGTGGCAGAGAGGGGAGCAGCAACCCCACCTGGGTTTTCAGGCTGCTCGCACCCCTTCCTGGGGCTGGGGCAGGCCACACAGGCTGCCAAAGCCTCCTCCCTCAGAGTTCACAGGAAGTTTGGGGTGAGGAATGGGGCGATGGTGGGGGCAGGAGGTTGGGGTGAGGAGGAAGTGGGGTGGTAGAGAAACCTGTGGGGCCAGATGCCCAGGGCCACATCCTGCCCAGGCCACATCGCACCCCAGGGAAGCACAGGCAGAGATGCACACCGATAACCAGCACCAGCCGCCGGCGAGTGCTTGCTGCTTGCTAGGCGCCAGCCTAAGTGCTGACAAGTCCACTTCATCCTCTAAGACCACAGGGGGGAGACGCTACTATTATAAAGGAAAGGTAACAGCAAGCATATGGGGGGGGGGGGGGCTATGTGCCAAGGATGTGTTTCAGCCCAGCCCCCACCTCGCCTGTGCACCAACCCTCCGTGGGTGCTATTGTCATCCCCACTCCACAGCTGGGGAAACAGAGGTCACCCTCGCAGGCTTGGTCCCCTGTTGCCCCATTAACCACATGCTTCCACGGGTGCTTCCGGCCCCAGAGCTGAGGAGGGGACATGTGCTGCAGACAGTGGGACTTGAGCTCACGCCCTAATGATGATGCTCGTGCAGCTGGGGGCCGGCTGTGTGTCAGGCGTTGATCTAAACTCTTTAGGTGAGGTCATGAATTCAGTCTCCACATCCTCCCTGGGGAAAAAAAAGTCTATTGTTAAGCCCCTTTTGCAGATGAGGAAACTGAG